CTCGGGCGGGGCGCAGGGCTACGGACGGAAGGGGACTATGGGGCGCCCACCCATGCTGAGACCTCGTAAGCCATGTGTTCTGACTTCTTCGAAGGAAATCGTGTCCCTGGCGGCCCCCACGCTGTATTTCTTCAGGTCTTTATTGGTCCATTTTCACAGATCAGTTTGCACAGAAACGACCCCTGGTGTGCGGCCGTCTGTGACCCCGTCTGCTGACACTCCGTTGCCTTCCCGGAGTGAGTAGCCAGCACGTCCTTCTCTCTCTCCGGAGCATCCTCGGGCGGTCGTGTGCTTTTCCCCCTGGTTTGGGGGCAGTGAGACACACTGGAAAAATACATTCAAAACCTGGAAATATACATTCAAAACTCTGCTCCCGGGGTTGCACCCAGGGCGCCTGTGAATGTTGACGTTGTGCCCCGCATGGAGAGGCCTGGGAAAGCGTTGTCCTGCGCTTTGTGGTGGTTTGTTTTGCGGAGAGAGCCCAGGTGGAGACTGTACCTTGCGGTTTGGGGCCGACTCTGTGGTGGTTCTGACTGACGTTCTGTATTTAATGATCAAGGAAGATTTAGAGAGATGGGTGGTGGCGGAGGCGCCTCTTCCCGAGTTAGTGGAGTGAGAGCAAAAATGCCAAAGTTTAGAATCGCCCGGACTTTCCTCGCCCTCTCTTCTCCCCCAGATGAAATAGGGCCGTATTCCTCTACCTCTTCTCTCCAAGCCGGGCTGGCTCTGCCCTGTTCCTCATCAGCCCCGCGAGGGCCCTTCCTGCCCCCACCTCATCTGTGACACATGCTGGGAGTCAAGGGGAAAGGTTTTCCGGCAGGTTTTCCTTGGTGCTACTTTTGATTATTGTTGACCAAGGGAGTGAGTGCCCAGCTGAGCAACAAGGCCCCACTGGCCCTCTTTCAGGAAAGCCCTGAGCCACAAGCTGACATCAAGGAGAAGGCTTTCCTCTTAAATACACTGAGATGAAACCTGACATACCCACCCCCTGTCTTTTTCTCTCCCGCCCACTCCCTTCAAAAGAATAGAACTTCAGGGATGTTTCTAACATCAAGGGCTGAGTAGTGTGGGCTCTTTAGGTAAGAGAGTTCAGGAGAGGCGGGGTGGGGGGAAAGGGAAGGGGCTGCTCTGAAGACCCTTGTGAACATTCTCATTCTAAGACTTGTTCTTATCAGTTAACTTAAGGTTAAGAACGGGATCACAGCATCTCCTTATTGAAATTGCACATGCTTAAAAGGTACTCAGTTGAGCTGCAGCCTCCCTGGGAGGGCCCATTACTCACACACACCTCTGATGGGTCATGGTTAGCACTCAGGGACTTGCAGCGCGTCCTCATCTTCAGAGCCCAGCCGGGACAGCTCCACATTTTACCCAGTGCTGGGCATTTGTGAGCCTCAGCAGCTGTGCTCCTGGGAGCCTGGACTCCAGCCTGTAGGTGAGATGTCCAATACAAGCCTGTCTCTGACTGCCCCGGGGAGATGGATGGGACACTTGACATTTTCCAGACAGAGCCGGGGCTAATCCCATTGTCTCTGCTGGCAATTGCCAGCTGTGGGAAACAGGCAGTGAGTATCCCCTGTTAGCTGAGTATTGTTTGTTAAGGCGGCGACATCACCTGCGTTCTCCTGGTGCACTGGAGAGTGTGAGTTTGCATCTTTACTGTGGACAGTAGTGTAGTAAATCGAATGTTCTTTGTGCATCCTGTATTCCAATTCCTCTTGTGACTGAGGGAAAGGGTTTTGATTTCTGTCTGCATTCTCCTTTTCCTATCACCTCTTTGACGCTGGAAATCCTGGCCCTGGGGAGCCCTATTGAAGTAAGAGTAGTAAAAGCATTACTGTCTTAGCTAATCATTGCTGGTGAATGGATTCCCTAGACACTGTTGGGGGCTAGAATCCCTGTTTGTTACCCTGGGAAAAAATTAACCAGATGACATACCACGGACAATGTTGTACATTTTTCTTTTGTTCCTTTAACTTTTAAAGATAACATTCTTTCTGGGGCAGAGGTTAGAAGGATGCCAATGCATAGCTAACGCATGTCACTTTTTACTTTTGACGAGCTTGTATCTGGTATTTCCTCTATGCAAAGCACAATACTCAAAAAGGTGTGCAACCTTCTGGTGTTAGGGGACAGTGGTGTTGCTCAACCTTTGAATGTTTAAGTCTCTCTCAGTCTTTATTAGTTTGCTTTGTGAGATTTAAGGGCAGATCTGTACATATACAACACTACAAGAGTTATTGCTTTCTAAGTTGGAGACTTTTTGAGCTTATCACTGTTCTTAAGAAGGATAATGCACAAACAAGTCAGCATATCTGAAATTGGAGGTGAATTGGAGGATTAGCAACTCTTCTATACATGAGATATTTTATGTACAGAAGTATTTTTAAATATGTAAGGATAAACTGCCAAAATAACCTGTACAGTCTTGAAAAAGAAGAGTTCAAATATAACTATAAACTGTAATTGACAGTGAGTCATTTGCTCTAGGGGTGCCAACTATGAAAACAGCCTAGTTATGCTCCTAATGATAATTATGAAAACTCCTTCTAAAAGCCAGTTGCATCTCAAGGGAGCTGTAAGTCAGCTTGGATGAAAATTTTCCATTTTACTTATCCAGAAATTATCCAGTGGTGATAGCTGCACAGCACGGTGAACATTCAGTGCAACTGCATTGTACACTTAAAAAAGGTTTTTAAAAGTCCCATTAATTGTTAGAAATGCTATTTTCAAACCATATTTAGGCAATTTTCAGAGCTCAAATATTCAAATGTTTCATGAAAATATTTGTTTTGATTCTATAGATACAATTTATTATATAATCACTGAACATTGGAAAAGGACAAATCTCACAATCCACAAACTTTCAATAGCAAAGAATGGAAATATTGAGAGTATGTTTCTAACAGCCAGGGGGAACTTGGCATTTTATCTAGACACAGTACATATTTTAAAGGAAATACAATGCCTGTGAAAATAAAGGGAAATCATATGCACATATGATACCAGTTTGTTATTGTTATTAGTAACAGCTAGCAATGTACCAGGCATCTTGGTGAGGGCTGTGCATGTATTACCTCATTCATTCTTCTTTCTTTTTTTTTCTTTTCGCAAGTTGAAAAAGCAGGATTTATTGAGAGAACAGAGAAACTCCCAGAGCGGGAGGGGACCTGAGGGGGTTGCCCTGCTCATTTATTCTTATACAAACCAATAAAACAAGTATATCTTCATATTGTGGAGGAGAATGCTGACAGATGAAAAACATACCTGTCTCTGCTCAGACTGCACATCTAGGAAGCAGCAGAACTGGGTTCTGAGAAAAAGCGTCTATTTCTAGAATCTCTGCTCTTATTCCCAAGGCAATCCTGCCTTTTATATGTGTTCAGTTAAAGTATTTCATAATATCTGAATTAGTGATATCTGACAGTTTACTCCTGTGTAATTCAGGATTATTTGACCAACTTGGTTTCTAAGTATGATGCTGTAAATGGATAAATACACCCACAAGTCCAATGTCAAAAGCTCCTACCTATGCCTTTTGTGACCTGGAGGAAACAGTTCCCTTTCACACTCCCACCTAGTCGGGGTGCGCACTCCATAGCCCACACAGGACCCCTTCCTTCACACCTCCATGTGCCTGTCCTCATATCTGAAGAAATGTAGTTATTTGGATCCCTATTTCCTATCACGTCAGTAACAACCCAGCATCAAAAACAAACATTCCGTAAAAGTACAAGCCATCAAAATAAGTTGGTGACTGTGTGGGTAAGGGAAGATGTGACATGAGCAACATGTCTCTCTGTGTGTCTCTTCTTTGCTAAAAGTATCACAGAAGAAGCAGAGACATAGGTGACAGTTTCTAAGAAGTGGCTTAACTAGAATCCAAATGATGGCATCAGAAGGGATGACAGAGGCATTCAGTGTCTCCTCCTGATCTTACAAATGAGAAAACTGAAGTCTAGAGGCAAATTGACTTGTCTAAAACTGTAAGCCGTAAAGCTTGATTGAGAGCTGGAACCTTTCATTTTCATGTCTGCCATTCTTGTCTCTATTTGGGAGGAAGCCACATCTGCAAGTGGGGCAGGAACAGGGTGGCTCTCCAGGGAAGTGAGCTAGGCCATTATTTTGTCATCTCCCAATGCCCTGCCTATTCCGTACAAGGTGGAAGATGCCTTTTGACCCACTGGTTTGTGCGAGACATGTCCATACTGGAAAAGGGCAGGGTCACTAATGCCTACTGCTTCAGCAGTTTGAGCAGTCTCCCTAGGGCTTGCGTATCCATTGCCCAAAGAGAGTGAACCAGTTGGTGAACAAGTAGTTCATTCATAAAGTGAGCAATACTCGCTGAACCCATGGCGGGCTCTCCACATGCATGCGCTTTATTGATTAATGGAAGGTTTCCGGATTGGATTTATTGCTGTTGCTTGGCAGCATTTGCGGGTAGTAAAATTTGGTTTGGAAACATCCTGGTTCCTTCTAATGCACTTTGGGATGTGTTGCCCTCATTGGTCTCCATATACAGTTGACATGGGAGGACTGACCCCAGCCTGTGAGGGGAAAGGCTGGTGTGAACCGGTTCGCCTGTACTGATCTGCACCTGTTTTATCTTGGTAGGTTTGGAAGAAGTCGTGCAGCATGGTTGTCCTTTCTTCTGGCGACTGATAGTGGGTGAAAAAGTACGACACAAATTTGGTGTTGTGTCTGCTTCTCCAAGGTCGAGAAATTATTTCCTTGGAAGGCAGCAGGACTATGCATGTTATGAATTGTGTCTCCTTGGTCGGCGATAAGGAAAATGGGAATATCGCCACAGCAGCTGGATTCATGATCGGGCAGACTCATCCCCCGGCGTCTCCTCCAGCTTCTCTTCCACCCCCTCCATCTCTGCCATGTCCGAATTCAGGGGAAGGGTGTTCTTCCTCTCCTCCTCCACCCCTGCCCCCCCCTCCACCACCTGGGGGGCCTCCTGTCCCACCTCCCCCACCAGGACTACCCCCAACTTCTCACATGAACGGCTACAGCCACCTTGGTAAAAAAAAGCGGATGAGAAGCTTTTTTTGGAAAACCATCCCCGAGGAGCAAGTTCGGGGCAAAACCAACATCTGGACCTTGGCAGCCAGGCAGCAGCATCACTACCAGATCGATACGAAGACCATCGAGGAACTCTTTGGGCAGCAGGAAGACACCACCAAAGCGTCCCCTTCTAGGAGAGGAGGAACTTTAAATTCATCCTTCAGGGATGCACGCGAAGAGGTAAGGACAGAACGCGAAGGAATCATCCTTCACATGCTGCGTCTTTTGTGTTTGGGGAGGTGCGTGCATTTCCAACAGCTGCTAGATGTCCTGAGAAATAAGATGACACAAGTAAGCATGCTCTGGAAGTGAGAGGGCCTCCCACGAAGAGCTTGAGCTGAGTGTTGAGAAAATGTAAGACGTGTGTGTGCCGGGTCCTCCCAGACGTCTGGGTGGATCATGACCTTGTGCAGAGAGCTTGCTGCTTGGGGCCCTGGGCTTTGGCCCTGTTTCCGCTGGCAGTTTCCTGGTGAAGAAGTTCTGTTCAAGTCCAGTATTGTTAGTCTCTGCTGAAACAGACACCGAGTTCCTAGGCTTGGTTATCTGGGATGAACCGGAGCTGTCTGGGACAGATGCTCTTTGTTAAACACCTTCATCCACTAATGTCCATCCTTAGAATTTTCCCCTTATCTGGTCCCCATTGTCTTTAACAAGTGTTTTCAGATGGTCCTCATTCCTCAGATGTCTGAATTAAAATATAGCCATTGTGGAACAGAAATTTCCAGGGATCCGAAGCATAAAGCTATTTTCAGATAGACTTTATAGGAAGCATGTTTCCAATGAACACTGAATGTGTTACTCTGAGAGAAAAATAAAGCTATTAATTTATAAGAGGTTAACTGAAAGCATGACGCCAGAGCTACAGATCACCAGATAGTACAGAAACGGAATAAAAAATGATGTTTGAATATGCTGTCAGTTTAGAAAACTCTACTTGCTAGAAGAAATAATTAGGAAATCAGGGATTAAAAGGAAAGACTGCTGTCCCCCTCTCCCCCAATGAAAACAATAGAAAACAGCAAAAAGAAAGAGAGAGAGAAAAAGACAACATGAACCCAGCATTTTGTATCTGCCGTGAAGGAGCAGAGAAAGTAGGTCAAAGATGGAGCTAACTAGATAGGAGAGTGGGCAGGGCCCTGGGCCGGAGTAGCAGCTCTATGCATTATTGAGTTCTTGAGCCAACAATATTGACCTCTTTTCTCCTTCTGGCTCAGGAACACGTTAACTGCTTCTCTCCACTAATTCACTTGGGGGCTCTTAAAGCTGGTTGTAGGATGTCATTGAAATAGCCAAGTCTGTTTATTGTGCGATACTGAGAACACGGGGATTCAAATGGTTTGAGTGTAAACTGTGAAATAAATTTGAGAAGGAAACCTTCAGAGAACCCTCAGTGCCTCCAGTGCTGAACACAGGCTTTCCTGTCTCCTCCTTTCACGCCGTCCTTGTGCTCGCTGGAGTATCTTTTCAATATTGGAAGGAGCAAGAAGTCATTTCCTTCGTACCCTGGCCTTTGCCCCAGCTCCCAACAGAGCTTCTTTATTGCACAGTAGGTCATGTCTCACCATTGTCTCCCAGCTCTCTTTACTGAAATTCAAGAATACTGAAGTCATTATTGGGTGGGTGCGTATGGAAACCAGTTGTGTGTCTCAGGGAAGCGCCTGTCACAGACGGGCGGACTCACTGTGTCCCTGGGGAGGCAGCCATCAGAGTAGAGTAGGTGGTGTTATTTGTTACTTGGGAGAATTTCAAGGGGCTGTGGGGAACTTGCTGCTTTAGGTTTGGGAGTTAAAGAGAGGCTCAGAATCACTCACAGAGGGACCAAAGTGGCAGGCTGGTGGCATCTTCTCCCAACTATGTGGAAGTAGAAACATCCATTTCCCTTTTTTTCAGGGAAGAAAGTCTCTTCTCGCCACCCACTACCCTTGCACTCTGGTAGATTTTTACTTTTTTTTTTTTTTTGAGTTGGAGTCTCACTTTGTCGCCCAGGTTGGAGTGCAGTGGCACGCTCCTGGCCACCGCAGCCTCGACCTGCTGGGCTCCTGCAATCCTTCCACCTCAGCCTTCCAAGTAGCTGTAACTACAGGCACGTGCTACTATAGCCGGTTAATTTTTGATTTATTGTAGAGACGAGATCTTGCCAAGTTGTGCAGGTGGGTCTCAAATCTGCGGGCTCAGGTGATCCATTTGCCTCAGCCTCCCAAAGTGCTGGGATTACAGGCTGAGTCACCGAGTCTGGCCTTTACTTATTTTTTTTTTTTGAGTTGGAGTCTCACTCTGTCTCCCAGACTGGAGTGCAGTGGCTGCTCCCGGCCACCGCAGCCTCAACCTGCTGGGTTCCAGTGATCCTTCTGCCTCAGCCTTCCAAGTAGCTGGAAATACAGGCGCGTGTTACCATGCCCGGCTAATTTTTTTATTTATTGTAGAGATGAGGTCTCGCCAAGTTGCCCAGGCGGGTCTCAAAACTGCGGGCTCAGGCAATCCACTCACCGCGGGCTCGGGCAATCCACTCACCTCGGCCTCCCAAAGCGTGGGATTACCGCCTAGCCACCGACTCCAGCCTACTTATTTCTTAAAGAATGATTTTTTGAATAGTTTTGAAATTACTTTTCATTGTGGCAAAGTACACGTAACATAAAATTTACCATCTTAGCCATTTTAAGTGTACAGTTCATTGGCCTTAAGTCATTCACCATTGTGCAACCGTCACCACTATCCATCTCCAGAACACTTTCCATCTTGCAAAACTGACACCCTACACCCAATAAACAATACTCCCCTCTCCCTCTCCCCCCAGGCCTTGGCAGCCACCATTCTATTTTCTGTCTCTGTGAGTTTGATAATGGTAAGTGCCTCATGTAAGTGGAATCATACAGTATTTGTCTTTTTTTTGTAACTGGCTTATTTCACTTAGCTTTATTCCTCAAGGTTCATCCACAATGTAGCCTGTGTCAGAATTTTAAGGCTGAATAATAGTCCATTGTATAGCTATCCCGTTTCTTGCTTATCCGCACATCCGTCAGTTGACAGTTGGGTTGCGTCCACATTTCGGCTGTTGTGAATAATGCAACTGTGAATATGGACTGCTTTTCTCTCTAGTAGGTCCTAATCTGAGAAACAGCATACTAGAAAGAAGAATTAAATAACCATGACTGTGTATCATGAAATAATCTAACTCTTCAACTCTTCACTATTCAGGAGTGATAATTAGATTACTTCATTTAAGAGCATGTTAGGTCATATTGTCACATAACAGAGGTTATTTAGAATTATTTTCAATTTTTTGTGTCATCTCTAACATGGCCAGAAGTAGTATTTATACCTTTTTCAGTAACAGAATATGATACATACTGTTTTCTTCCTTCCTCAGATTTTCATCTACAGAAGTTGTAACTCAGCAGAGTTATAATCTGACAAAGATCAGTAATAAATCTTCCAACTCACTCTATAATGAGTCCAGGGTCTAAAGTAATAGTCCTCACCATTCGTCCATGTGGACTAGAACATACTCTCAGCAGTCTGTTTGGCATAAGCTAAGGCCATATTAGAAGAGGGACCGGTCCTGTGCCTGGAAACAGCATCAACACATTGCAACACAGGCCTCGACTTGGGAGGTTCCGACATGCCAAGGATCAGATTTTGTCCTCTTGGAATATAGTAACCTCCTACAGAAACAGCCTGACATCATGTGATCGGCTGTTACCATTCATTACCAATAAGTTCCATTATACTTCTAAGAAAGAATTTGCAGGAAGATAAGGAAGATTTGGGTTTGGGGGTGGCTGAACTTAGAAACAACAACATTTAAAATAGTAAATGAGAATATTTAGTACTGGGGAAGAAAAGCTTATGAACTATTACTATCTTTGTGTCTTTGCAAACTAAAAATTAACTTGAATAGACTACAGATGTGATGGTATAATAATAATTAAATGGCAATAAAGTAATTGGAAATAAAGGTATATGACTGAAATAAAGATTCAGTTCAAACTCACCTTCTTTCCAAAGCTGACTGGTCTCATCCCCCCATGGAAGCTCTGGTTCTGTGTCCATCTGTAACCAACAGTCCTCAGTCCCCCTCAGAGCCTCCCGCCAATGTTAGTCGGGGCTGTGCATGTCTCCCTCTATAATTTGCGCAGCCCATAAGGGAAGGGATATATCTCAGCCACTGGATAGAACTGTACCAAGGGAGCTGAGGGACCAATTTCCAGGGCATCAATACATCCATCTTGGGACTCAATACAAATGTTAAAACACTTAAGGCCATTCCCTGTATTGTCTGCAGGAGTATTAAATTGACCATGTAGGAAAGAACTAAAACAGTTAATTAGAAAAAGGGGAAGAGAGAGAGAGACAGGAAGAGAGGGAAGGATGGAAGAAAGATTCATTTTTCTAAATTTATGGGAGGTTAGTTTTATTCTACCCACATTATAATTCAGTCATTCTCAACTTTTGTTATGATCCCAGTATGTTCTAGAATTCTGGGACATGCTCACAATCTAGAACTACAGAACTCGGCAGCATATTTAAATTATGTACAAATGGGGAAAAATGTGCTTCAACTGAGTTTTCATTTTTTTTCCTCTAGAGTGGGGTGGGGGAAACAATTTCCAATTACGAGCCATCCAAAAAGAAAAAGAAAATGAAAAGCCATCAGAAACCCAAAGCCAAGTCCGTATTGGAAGATAGAGGAAGATGTTTTCAATTTTGCTTTTCAGAATTTGAAGTGAGTAGGTTTCGTGGTCCTCTGTGGCCCTAAGAAGGAGTGCCCTAGGAAGGCAGCCCTGGGGACACGGCTTTCTTCATTGGCTCACCACTCCAGCTTTGGGTTTTGGGTCTATGGGTATATCATAGCCTTCCCTATCAATTTCCTTCAGGCCCTTAGTCAGGTTTGGCTAAAAGTTGGTGTGTAAGCCAAGAGAAGCCAGGAGGACATCGCAGATGCCATGGGACTGTGGAACTGACCAGTGCCAGGTTTGCTACAGCAGGCATCATTTGTCTTTGATGTAGTGATGTGGCCGGACTTGCTAGAGCCTGCCTGGCTGTGCATTCTGTGGTTATCATGGTTTTTGGAATCCTACTTTGAGTGTTGAAAGTAAAAAGAACTTTCTTCTTATGTCCTCTGCTTGGGTTCTGCCCAACGAGGAAATGTGGCTTCTTTTTCCTAGTGGACAAGAAACAGT